AACGGAACTCCGTTCCTAGCGACCGAAGTCGTCTCTCTCGGGAAGAAAGACACTGCTAAGCTATAGAGTCACATTTCACCCAAGAGCAGAAATAAGAAAAATACTTAAATAACTGCCAGGACTGAATCACTACTGGCTTCTAAGTAGTCTGGAAGGTTTAATTCAAAAACGTGTTGAAATCTAATGAAAATAACTCGATATCCAAACACCCTGAACATAAAACACGAAAGTGGGCTAGGAAGTAAAAGGTAAAGTCATAATGGCAATGCACAAATTTTGACAATTTTTTCTAAGTAATAAAAAAGATAAATATTCTTAATATGTGCAGTGATAAATATTTAGAAAGCTGAAACTTGCCAAGGTTTTATCGTTGGGAATTTATTAAAATACTCCAGCGCTTTATTTTCAAAATTTGAAGGGAAAAAGTTTAACTTCATCAATGGTAATTTAAAAATTTAAATAGGGGGACACACATCTTTGAACTTAACAAATCTATTTAACAAAGTGCATTTAATATTATTGTACTAATCAAAGCATATAAAGCACTTTCAACTTAAATTAGTTTTTAATCTATAAAATATATTCTAGGGTGTTAATTTTTTAAATTATAAAAATACGCACTCATTGTAATAAACTTTCAAAACATCATATAAAGTAACAGTCCGCTGTACTCAGTGCCTTCCCCATTTCATTCCTATAAGTAACCATAGTTAACACTTTAATCTGTGCTCTCCCATACGGTTTAAATACATTTATAAAGCATATATGCACACGTATAACATGTAGTGCACATTTTGAAACTTGTTAAATTTCTAAATAGGCCATTGATAATAAAATTAAAGGAGAATTTTCTTACTATTTTGAAACCATTTGAGTACTTTACCATAGTAATACTATAAACATTTCAGCTACCAGCCCCATTTTTTTTTAATACTCAAGTCTAATTTTTCCCATCTTATTGCCATTGCCAATTGCATATAAAAATGGGTGAATGTAATGAAACCATTGATTGGTCCATTCCAACTTATACTATAGTGTTTTAGGCATTAGAAGTTCTTCAGATTACAGGTATTTCTCAAGTGATAACTTTCATTTTAGGAGACAATTCTGAACAAGGAAGTTAGATGACTAAAGATGTTGTTACAGGGCCTTGACATTGGATGGTTGAAGCCTGCCATTCATGGAGGCAGAACTGTGTTCCATTTTTTACTGGAATCTATTCAGTTAAATCACTTCAGAATTTTTACAATACTAATGTTAACAGTACACCTCCTTCCATTTGTATACTTCACTTCCCATGATACCTAGACTCGGCATTTATTTAGATTTTTCTTTTTTAAGAGTTTAAGCTGAGTCATACCAAAACTGCAAAGGAATCTTTCAAAAAGGTGCCATGCTTGTGTACTCCACCTAGAGGTTGTGTGAATTAAGGAAACCGAGTTTACTTGGCAAAGGCTTCTTATAGGTTCCATACTTTATACTACTGAAATTCTTTATTTAAAAATTTTTTCTTTTCACTTTATAATTCTGTCTCAAGTCCCAAGCCAGAGATGGGCCACCATTTTTGATACTTTAACTTGTCAATAGCCCCCTCATTGTTTTACGTTCCTTTAAAAGCTTTGTTTCAGAAAAAGCCTTGAGGAGTAATTGTATTTATTATTTTTTAAAATTTATTTTTACAATATGTTTTTCTTGATTTCAGAGAGAGGAAGGGAGAGAAAGAGAGAGAGAAACATCAATGATGAGAGAGAATCTTTGGCTGCCTCCTGCACGCCCCCTACTGGGGATTGAGCCCATAACTCCGGCATGTGCCCTGACGGGAATGGAACTGGAACCTCCTGGATCATGGGTTGATGCTCAACCACTGAGCCACACCTGCAGTGCAGAGGAGTATTTGCTTTTAAAATAATTTAGTTGTTTCTAATAATGGCTACATGTTAGTTGAATACTTACAATGTACCAGAGTAAAGCATAGTGCTTCATACTTTCAAATTTTCCAAAGACTACATACTTTCCACTAGACAAGAAGTCTTGCCAAATAGTGCAATTAGTTGAAAATTCCCTTGGTGAATCCCTCACTCCCAACACAAATAGATACTTGCAGTCTGGGATTACCATAATTAAGTGAAACAGTCAGTTAACTTTTAAAATAAATGAGTAAATGCCTTCAACTAATAACCTGTGCAAAGCATCTGCGCCTTTCCCTGCTTCCAATACAGGAAGAGGGGAATAAAATATAAGTTCTAAGAATTCTAAGAATAAAACAATTGATGCTAATTTAGAAATGAGTACTGAGCATTTCAAACTCAGTGGTTACAGCAAGCATCCCATAAACAAAAATTAAGGCATTGGTGTTACCCTGAGTTACAGCCTAGATTATCTCCCCATGGCTAGAAAGGGAAGAATTTATCTAACTAGTTAAATTTTTGGAAAGAGCCCAGGCTTTGGAGTTGCAGAGACATAACTTTGATTCTAATTCTTTGATTTACTAACTATGAGTCTAGGTAGATTACTTGGCCTCTCAGAGCCTCAACTTCCTTGTTTGCATAATAGGTATAATTAAATCCATATGATAAAGCTATTGAAGTGTAAACAACAGGTGTGAGGTGGCCAGCATGTAATAGGTATTTTATAAAAGGTTTATAAATCATGACTGTGTTCCTGTCAGACCACAAATGCCAACTTATACCAATTAGGAGGCCAAGGGCTCTATATTTTGAGGTACAAATACATATGAAATGAACAAAATATGCAAATCTACACTTGACAATTCCTAGTCATATCCTCACTTGGCTAGTTTAATAGGTTCACACCCTTAAAACAGTCCTGCCGCTTGGCTTTTGGGTTACCTACCTCATTGGCCACTAGTTTTGTAAGCTACTTTATTGAGTCTTCCTCATCTCCATGACATTTCTGGACAGTCCCAAGGCTCACTCCCTAGGAATCCTACCTATTTACAATTTCCAAACTTTTACCAGATCTATTCATTATCTCCACTTAGATATCTAGTAGACACCTCAAACTGAACAAGTCTAAAATTAATGCCTGATTGGTTCCCTCACCTATCTCCTATGCATGCACTCGTACAGCGCGTGCGCACACACAGTGAGTCTTGCTGCCTCTATCTTTAAGATTTATCAAGAATGCGACTGCTTCTCACCCCCATGGTAGCCACTCCTCTAATCAAAACCCTACAATGGCTTCCCTTGCCTCTTACTGTAAAAGCCAAGTCTTCTTAATGGTCTTCTAAACTTTGCACAATCTCGCCACACCCTTCACCCCCCAATGTCATGGTAATTTTACTCTTTGCTCATTCTGGTCCTGCCTTAGCAGTCTTGCTTTTTCTTGCCAAGCATGCTGCTACCCTATGCCTTTGTATTTTTTGCTTCTTCTGAGTAGATATTCATATTGTTTGTTTCCTCACTTAATCTTATTAACAAATAGATGATCTGTTGAGGTGTCAGATGCAGGATCTTGCATCTGAAAATGTGCTAGAAGCTGGAAGGAAATAAAATGGTCTAGCCTGGGACACAGCCATGAATGACACATTAGGTCCTCAGAAAATGACTACGGACTTCATAAGAGAAAGTATAAGCTTAAAGGAGCATTTAGTTCAATAAATTGTAGTTTATAAATACTGTATGAATAAGTAGTACCTATACTATTTCTGGTATCCTATTTAGGGAATGAAAATACCTACACAGTTACACAAAAATGGCAACTCATGGTGACACTAACTAGATTCTCTACAAGTAACCCAGCAACACCCTCCTCTGGGAGGGCTGGTGTAGTCTTAGCGCAGTGAATCCAAGAGGCAGTCCACACTGCTAACCCCCTGAGAGGCCCAGGAGGTCTCAGATGGGTTTCTCTCTCCTCCTCCCCTGATAAAGAGGAGGCTCCTTCACAAGAACAGTCTTTTTACTCATCTCTGGGTTCTCACAGAGCACACTGTGAGGGTGTTCTATAAAATCTGAGTGATTGAATTTCACAGAATGCCATAGTTGCACTTCGGTGTGTCTTGTTCTTCCTTGTGCCTTTCCCCACCATCTATACTCTTGTATCAAGTGGCAAGACGCCATAGTTGCACGCACTTCGGTGTGTCTTGTTCTTCCTTGTGCATTTCCCCACCATCTATACTCTTGTATCAAGTGGCAAGAGGATCCTTGGTTTCTCCTTCCCAATTTAAAGAACTTATGACAGGAAGGGGTGCATTGAAGAAGAAACCTGACTCTGGTTCTGTAACTGTTAGGAGCTGAAGCCCCTTCTGAGCCACAGGGAAGTTGGCCAATGATTTTCCATTTTGGAGCTCTGAAGATTTGGATCTGTGCAACATAGTGGGGGGCAGTCCTTCCAAAGTTGTATGACAGGAAGGGGTGCATGGAAGAAACCTGACTCTGGTTCTGTAACAGTTGTGAGCTGAAGCCCCTTCTGAGCCACAGGGAAGTTGGCCAATGATTTTCCATTTTGGAGCTCTGAAGATTTGGATCTGTGCAACATAGTGGGGGGCAGTCCTTCCAAAGTGTGGTTAGTAAGTTAAAATACGACATGAATGTAGGAGGGGGGTGATTCCACAGCCAAATACATTTGGGAAATGCCGGACTAATGTCACTGGGTTTCACTGAAGGATGTCTCAGAACGCGTCCTCTGCCGCTGTGCTTTATGAATCCTCAAGACAAGGCTGAAGCATTTCCAAAGTTTTGAGCCATACTGTTTGTGAGGAGACCTGCCCAGGTACTAGTGTTTCACAAAAGAGCATTTTGAGAAACTGGTACAAAATGTAAGAATTTCTTAAGGAGCCGTTTAGTGCCTTCCTGGATTTTCTGCTATGAAAAGCCAATTTCAGCAGCCAGTAAATGGCTAAGTGGACATTAAAAGGGTTTTTGATGTCATATTGTAATATAATCACTGAATATGAAATAATGTTTTGGTTTTAACCCTAGACCTGGAATGGAAAATTATCTATGTGGGCTCTGCAGAAAGTGAAGAATACGATCAAGTTTTAGACTCTGTTTTAGTGGGCCCTGTTCCTGCGGGAAGGCATATGTTTGTATTTCAGGTAAGATCATTCTTGGTAAATATGTATATAAAATATGTTTCTTAACAGACTACATCAGATGGTTCTTATCCCTTTCCTTGTGGGTTAAATCACTCTGCTTCTGCTGCATCGCTTTTTATCTACTTCTCTCACATTTTAGAAAGTCTCTGTGTTATGCAGGAACACCGCCTCTTGATTTTGTTTGCTGAGAGATGTTAATGTGATATTTACTTCAGGGATTGCACAGCATGCAGTAACTTTATACGTGGTGGTTAATTTGGGGCTTTTCTGTGAATAGTCTCTTAGTATCAGACTTTCAGGGGGGTGCTGTCCAGCAGCCCCAAACAGAGATTAAAGATGCACACTACTGATTGGTGTAGTCAGTCATATGCAGCTTTATGGTTTCAGCCACTAGGAGTGATGATAATATAAAAAAAGCAACAACTTGATATCACCATAATCAGTAATGAAGCTAGGTTAAAAGGTATGTTAGTAGAAAGAGAGATGTGTGATCTTGGGTCATTGGAATTGAAGTCCAGTTTACTAAAGTATCTAATCTACACATTTTATAAAGGGTTACTGTTATAAAGCTACTACTCTGTTTACTGACTGTGAGGGGAAATTCTAATATAAAATATGTTCTCAGATATTACTGACAG